TGCTCTACAAGTTTCAGACACTTCTCGAGTCCTAATAACTATTTTATATATAAGAAATAGTAGGGATCAAGGCAAACAAAAACATATGTTAAGATGAATAAAAATAATAGATAGTTACCGTAGTAGCAAGGTCATTGCGTTTGACCCGAGAACCAAGTGAGTCCAAAATACTTGAATCTCACGTTTTTTGGCATTGAAGACTGCTAGATACCAATGGTAGCCCGATATGTTAATCGGAATGAATAACTGGTGTAAATATCATACAAGTCACGGTCGCAATTAGATATAAATATTAATAAATCATTATACATATGAATTAATAAAAACAATATATAATTATATACATGGATAACGAGACAAAAACTAACCATGTCTTGTTGTAGATAAGTATTAACATGATGCACGATGTGGTGATATTTTGATGGGTCTATATCTCTTTCCCCGTCTTCTTTTATCTGGCCAGATACAAACATGCTAACAATGTGTATCTTTTCACCCGCTCTGTCTTGTAGATGGTCGTGAGCAAGCATGCAATATATGTAAGCATTTATCACCTGTAATCAACATTTAGATTATGTGTACATTTTATGATATTAAATATTGTTCATATTATTAATTACAAAGTTTGTGCAATTGGTCTTACACCATCATGTAAGAACATATCATCTTTCATAAGGCATTCCAAATCGTCGGTTGATAACAAGGCATCTCCAATGTCCACGAACTGGGTATTCTTGGGGGCAGACTTGATTGATTCGATGACTGTAATATCCCTAGGGGTACAAACATAGTCTGCCGAATTCATAAATAAATGAGCCAATTTAGCAATCAAACTGAGCAAAAATAGTTGAATACAAGAGGCAATATCACAAAAATAAGATTGATAGTAATATTAAAAAATACCTTGTGAGATAACATGTAAATTAGCATCCTTTTTTGGTTTGTTATGAGATATAACCTCTTCGACATTTTTATGTTGTGAATTTTTGTCCCCTTGCAGCAACATCGCATATGAACCCTCAATGGATTCTTTCTGTGCATCTCCAAAGTCCATATCCATGTCTCCTATATTCTAAAAAAAAAATAGACCTTTCGTGTTTTCATGTATAATATACATACAGAGGAAGGTTATCTATATGCACCTCTTCTCGTGGTGTTTCAGTGCGGTCTGTCATCGTTACATCAGTGCATATGTCGGAACCCATCACTTTGTATCTACGATGGAATATATATGATGAAATATAAATGATGTTTTCTACTGCATAATATAATCATATATAATATCTGAAAAAATAGTAGTGATAATAACACACTATTTTCTCTATAAAAAACATATTTGACATTATTAGGAAAAAATGTTGGTTAAATAATTTAAATAATTGTACTAACACAAAATTAGGGGAAAACAACAAACTGTAATGTTCATATATAATGAGTAGTCATATGAAAATTATTTAAATTATTTATATAGGCCATGGAAATTTGTCAAGAAAAAGAAAAAAACATGCAAACAAACCTTCTTCAACCAAGTAGATTTATTTATACATCAACCAAGTTTTGTTGTGGTACCCTTAGTATATGAAAGATAAATATAAAAAATATTTATTTTTATGAACAATATTTAATGAATATATATACTTTTATTGTTTCTGTTTAATAAATAAATATAAATTACCTTATCCACATTTTTCTGAGGGATTACATTATAACTGGACAAATGGGCCGGCACTTACCGGCCAGGAATGCGTGGTGGCCTCCACGGCCCATGCACTATAAAGTTGCCTAACGGGCCGGCTCAACGGCCCACCTGGCACGCTGGCGTCTGGGCCCAAACCCTAACACCATTCACTCACCACACCCCCCTCCACTCACTCATTTCCTCTCGCCCTCTCCCCTTCCCCGCCGCGTGCCTCGACGACCCGGCGCCCGCACGACTCCGCCCGCCGACCGCCGGATCCCATGCCGCGGCAAATCTTGGGGTGGCCTCACCGGCCCTCTCCACCCCCACCAGCAGCTCGGCCCTCTCCCCTCCCCCCGCCGCATGGCCGCGCGCCTCGACGAGCCGGTGCCCGCGTGACTCCACCCGCCGGATCCATCCCATGTCGCGGCAGATATTGGAGCGCGTGTTTTTACCCCTCACTACTACTAAGTTGATAGTAACCCGCGCTACTACTAAGCAGTCTCTATCATGCCCCCCCGGGACATGCCATAGTAGTAGCGAGGGGTATGAACCCGCGCTACTACTAAGTTGATAGTGGTAGAGCGGGTTTATACCCCTCGCTACTATTAAGTAAAAGGTAGGTGAAGTCCCCATATCCTCGGTTGAATCCCTCCTCTCTCCCACACTCTCCCATTCCCCTTCTCCTCCCACCCGTGATTCCCATCCTCGCCCACCATCGCCGCCGATCTCACACCTCGGCGCCTTCCCCAAATTCGGTGACCTCTCCCATCGCAGCCCCCTCCCCGGCCCCTCCTTCCTCCTCCGTTGCTGGAAGGAGAGGGAAACCAGCAGAACATCATCCATGGCGGCGACCAGATCCACCATGGATGCAACCACTTGCACCTCCTCGCTGGGACAAGGCCTCCTGAGGACATGCGAGCACCATGGTCAAGGGTCCTACGATAAGCAGTAGCAGGTCACCGGGCTTCATCTAGGTTTCGAGCGTCGGCTCCAACTTCGGCGGCCACCAGTGAGTTCCTCCTCCTACTCCTCTCTATCTCTCTCTCTTCCTCATTCAAATAATTTTCTCTTCTTTTGTAGCAGATGAGAGGTGCGGGAACGAGTTGGGTGGGGAGCCACCATCACCATGGACAACTTCATCCCCTCCAGGACCAGCAACAATCATGGTTGGAGAGGACGATGACGCCCAGCAGCAGCAACCATGGATGAAATTTATTTATTTTAATTCCCAATTAGTTAGTAGTAGCGCGGGGCCCTAACAATCTTCTTAATAATCAAGAAAACATCAAAGCTTTTGCCTTGTGTTTGAATTTATTTACTCATACTCATTTCCTCAACTAAAATTCAGATATATCAAATGTGTTTTTTACCAGTATTTTTTTCAACTTTTATAGATATTATTTATACAGGGAACCTTTTAAAGCATCAAATGATTATGACTATAAAAATAATGGATTTTATTAGAACAATGTGAGGTAAATCAGACACGGCCGATAAAAAGAAGACAATCTCTCCCCCATCACTGCCTAGTACAGTAGTCTACGTAGTAGTATTAAGAAAAAAACGTTAGATTTCTCAAAAAAAAAAACGTCAGTCATCCTCTCCACTGCCGCCTCACATTCTTCTCTGGATAGTTCCCCACCACTGCCTCACAATCTCCTCTGTTCCCCATTCTCTCCACCACAACCAGCGCTCCCTGGTCAGGCCGCCCCTTCCCTTCGTCACCACTGCCGGCGCTCCCTGGTCAGGCTGCCCTCCCCTTCGTCACCAGCGTCACCGCTCCCTAGCAGGCCGCCCCTCCCCTTCGAATCAGATCGCAGAAGTGGTCGGGAAGATCCTCGAGCTCGGCATGCTCGCGCCAGTGGTAGGCGCCGTTGGATGCGGACGCGGAGGCTCGGGACTTGCACGCCCTACTCTACCCTGTTCCTTCCAATCCGGCCCCGAAGTGCTCGAGGAGGCGCTCGAGGTCGGCATGCTCACCGGCGATGCTTGGTCCCTCCATTCTCCTGGTTCCCTCACCGTCGCCAACATGAGCCTCTCCACTCTCTCCCGCGCGATCGTCCAGGTCTAGGTAATCTCTCTCTCCCTGACCCTGCCGTATGCTCCTCCCCGTCAATTCGGTTAGTCGCCAGGTGCATCGCCTCACTAAGATATCACAATGAATATTCCTTTTCAAGACTGTCCATATTTTGTTCTGTTAAAGGGCTTTGTTAAAAAATCTGATTTAACTGAGTATTATTCTGCTCTAAATTGCAGCCCCTTCTGGTTGTGAGTGGATCCAAGAGTTCATATGATGCAGTATCTTTTTGAAAGATGATAGATTATCTTCATAAAAGAAAGGAAGTTGGAGAAGTTATTACTGAAGAGGAATTCAGTGCTATGTGCTTCTCAAGAGCTAAACTGGAACAAGAAGTGCATGACTCTCATGCCTACACTAACTAATCAGGTAGCATATGCAAATTTTTAACCATACTACATCCAGATATGACATTTGAATATAAAAACTGGCAATTCATATTATAAAATGGAACAAAAATGGGTGTCGCGTTTATTCTTTAGAGTGTGTGTTTTCTATTAGAATGGTTCCTTTCAAGAATGTAATATGAGAAATCATCTGCTTAGTTGGTGGTTGTATTGATGATTCGGCCCTTAATGGTTCAGACTTCCCGAAGGAGAAGAAGGAGGTGCGGAAAGAGGATGGGAGCAACAAATCTGAATCAAAGATTATGTTTTGTTGTGGATCTTCTATGGAATGTTGTTGCTAGTAACCAAGCATGCTTTCTCTTTAGTTCCTCTATGAAAGTAGCATCAAATTGGGATTTTGTTGATGATTTGCAAAGCTTAATTGAGACATAATTCTCTCAGTTCCCACTTTTGCAAATCGTGATTGTTAGTTGAAGTTAGTTGGTTCTCCCGATCCTAGTTGCTTCTAATGCAGGTCTGTAGTCCTGAGTTTAGTGGGTGATTCTGTACGATCTTGCGATGATTATAACTGCAACACTTGAGGGTTGGTAGTAGCACATGCCCAAGGCTTGATGAACTCGTATGGCTTTTGTTCTCTTTCTTTTGGAGGGGAGAACTCTTCCACTTCGCTTCTGCCTTTTCATCAGCTTCCATGCTGCAGTTTGACAATTTTTATTTCGGTGTTATTTTTTGGGTTCCCTTTTCCCATCTTTTATGTTTGTCGATGGGTCATTAAAACAGAAAACGGTGATGTATGAACCATTTTGACCAATGATTTATTCATTGTGTCCACCAGTGATCTTTTGAGATACTGACGCTTGTTTTTTTTGGAATTAGGGGTGAGAATTACTTATCGATGACTCGGGCATCAACTCTTGATTTTCGGCGGAAGACACAGGGTCAGAACAACTGGTCTGGGCCGTTGCGCCCAGTAAATGCCATCAAAAATAAATTCCCTACCTATAAGAATGGTACGAATGGGATAGTCATCAAATTTGCTGATGAGCCAGAAACGCCATGACTTAAGGAGTCTGTTGCCAAAGAGACAACAGATCTGCTTGATCGGCGTCAGCGTCTTTCAGTCCACGAGCTCGCAATGAAATTTGAGAAGGGCCTCAATACTGCCACATTATTATCTAACGAGGTATGGGTCTTCCTGATTCCTGAACACTCATTTAGCAATTGGTTCAGTTATTACAGACCTTAAGTTATTGCATTGGCTTTAACTCTCAGGTTAAATGTAAACAAGTGGCTTTATTAGAGCGAGACATCCTTCTGAAGAATCTAAAGAGTGTATTGGAGTCACTGAGAGGTCAAGTAGCTGGCAAATATAAGGATGAAATTGGGGAATCGGTATCTATGGTTGGTTTTTCTTCTTTTGAACCATATTTACAGCCACGTGAAGGATTATTGTTCCTCAGTGCGTTTTAGAGTATCTTTAATGACACTGCAAGTGTTCTAAACTAACCAATATGGTTTCTTAAAAGAGCTAAATATACATGCCTAAATCATCCCTTTGTTTGCGAGCACTTTAATAGTTTGACACTTTCTATAGGTGGATATTTTAGCAGTTCAGCTGTCCAAAACAGAAAATGAGTTGCTTCAGCAGAAAACCGAGGTCACGAGAATAGCGACTTCACTAAAACTGGTGAGTTGATCCTTGTACTTTGGAAGTATCTTTATTCTATGGACCTTTGTAAGCACATTTTAGTACCATGATCCATTGTGTTCTCTGTTTACAATGTACTATCAAATGTCATGTGTATTTTCCCTGCTTGCTACTGGCTTTGGAGGAAAACTTAGTTCCGTCGTTTTTAAATGTAAATTATCTGCCATGATTAAGCAAGCCAAGCTGAAGTTTTTCCTTTGTTGGGACTTCTGAAACAGACTATCAAACAGTACTACAAATTTGAAATGGTGTTCTTTTCTTGCAAATGCACAACAAATTTTTAGGGGCCTGCCGATGGTTTGTTGAACAACAAATTTTTAGGAGTTCTTCCTAATTTTCTTACCATGGTTAAGAAAATAACATGCTGGCAATGATTTGTGCGTAAAGCATGTTCCAATTCCTCTTGGATTGGCGCGTCGTTTTAGTATTTTTTATAAACATCATTTATCCATATCAAGTATGCTTAATCTTGGTATATTCCCATATTTTCATTTTGACAAATCACTCTTTCTATATTGTTCACAGGCTTCTGAAGATGCTAGGAGAATTGTTGACGAAGAACGAACTAATGCACGCATGGAGATTGAAAATGCTAGAGCTGCTGTACAAAGAGTTCAAAAAGTACTTAAAGAGAAAGAGAACAATTCACAAAGAATTAGAAAGGAGGTAAATTGTATATAATTTTATGAGCAGCATATTATCTTGTTTTCTGTACTTTAGTACCAAGCTTACCTGGAACTTATGCCTGAATCTGTATTCCTTATATATTCTTTTATTTATGTCATATACAATTACTCCCCTTGACTTCTGTACAATTTTTCTGTTCAAAACCAGTGGTAGTTTATTTTAATTTGACTATGCAACCTTCTATGTACTGCATCATACAGCAATAGATCTTCCTGCCCAACTTTGCTTTTATTGCTTGCTTGTCCAGATGCTGTGCTTTGGCACTGTCCTCAATTTGTTATACTCATTGTATTACTTGCTCTATCTTCAGAATGTAGATTCATTCGGTTGGGATATAGTTGGTATTAGAGTATTACATATCCATTGTGAATAAATTTAGACTATTCCATCTAAGCATTTTGTCCTCATGCAATTTCTATTACATGTAATGACTTAATATTATGACTCTGATGATATATATCTTCAAGCAGTCCTATTATATTTGTTTGTTTACTGGCATGTTGAAACACTTAATAAGTTATTTGTTTGTTTTTCTGGCTCAAATATATATATGAGATTTCATTAAAAAGTTAGGCAGTCAACTATGGTCATGACTTAAAAAGTTAGGTGTATGACACACATGCGATGTCCAGAATAGACTGTTAGCCTATAATATCTGAAAGAACTGTTTGTATTCAGTTGCAGCCCACCTAATAGGACTGCTTGATTCCGTCGAGTATGGAAAAAGCGAAAGGTATTTTACGGTCTCTTTTGCGTTCTTCTTCTGTTACTTGCATATTTTCTGTGGTATCATTCAAGTCATCTACTGATGTCTTCCTTGGGTTTCTCTCAAAAGCGAAAGGTAAAAACAACATGATAGCAAACGAGTATGGAAAAAGCACAATCATTTTACCTTCTATATTTTTATCTGCAATTACATCAGACGTGCCCGTAGCTTTAGGAGGATATGTTGATTCATTATGCGGGATTGATGTATCAACCGAGCTAGCTGGGTCATCTAATATAACATGCTTGGTTAGTATTTATTAAAATGGCTGAACCATGAATGCTAGGATGTAACATAAAATAATCTTACTTGAATTACAAAGGGGACGAAGATCAACTTTCCTGTGCTTATCATCTCACGTGGGTTTGATTAGCTGCCCCAACATATGATCTGCCCCAACATTAGTTCCTATTGTAATCCAGCAGGGGCGTTCAGAAAGCAAAGAGAAGTTAAACATAATCACAAATAGTATGATTGTCAAATACGCACATATAACTAACGACATTGTAAATCCACCAAATATGTACCAGGGATCACATATGAAGATTGTTGAACATTTGTGATATCACATAGAGTACGGCGGTGAACAATCGGCCCATCGTCTAGATGGTTTATAAAACCATCTGACTTCTTAGTGCGATAAGATGCCCGCCTCCACGCGTTGATAAGATCCCTATGGTCTACCATTTTTACAACAGGTATGAGAGTTAGAGAACAAAAAAAGTATGTACAAATCACTTAGATAGATGTTGATACAACATCTATGAAACCAACACGGGGAACATCTATGAAGTCAGGTTACTATAACGATTAATTTGCATACTATAGGTATTCAGAAAAACCCAAGAGTAGTCAGCAAAATCACGCTTAAATACTTACCAGTCTTTGAAAGGGATGGCTGATTATCCTCTTGTAACCTGACCATATCCTCCTCTTTTTTCTTCGGATAAGATTCACGCCTCTATGCGTTGAACTGCTCCCTTGTTTCGCCAACGTTTTTTTCTTCATTACATACAGCTACTGTTGCATGCTGCTTGGAAGTTTTGTCATCTGCATTACGTTAAGCGTAAAAACCACAAAGCCCATTAAGCTCATCTGGGAAAATGGACTAAACCTCTCTGATCCGCTACCGGAGATGTCGATTTGGAAGCTGTATAAGCATGCCTGTGAATACCTTGAGTATCACCTCGTAGCTTAGTCATACCATCCTTATTATTCTCAGAATACGATGGAATCCCGTCGTTTGAAGGTTCCCGCCCTAGATCTTAGCAATCAACAAAATATACGATATGCACGAAACATTAGCAGCAATCTTGACACAGTCTTATACCTGCTCCCGTCGTGTAAATATCGTGAATATTTGCATGTAAGGGTATGAAGTTTGCATTGTAGTCTCCAACATTTATCCCGCTCGTAAGGACTGCAACACATAAAATGCATTCTGCCACTTTCAGAAATGCACGTGAGGCAACATTTATAACCAATCTTCGCACAGTATTATACCTAATTCCGTCGTGTAAACGTTATCAACAATTTCAGCTACGGGTATGATGCTCGCATTGTGTTCTGCATCACTTCTCCCGCTTGTAAGACCTGGAAGACATTATGCATACAGCCTGTCACTGTCAGATATTCAGGTCTCGCAACTAAACAAAAACATGGTAGACTGCATCATACCTGTAGTTACGTCATCTTCTGGTTGATGTTCGTGTGCCGTGCTTTTTGAATTCCCCATATGCAACTATTGAATGGCAAAAATCATGAAGACAGAAATGGTAGTTCTTTGATGATCTTCACCAACATGGTAATTTCTTCTACATCTTTGACATTCTGCAAGGGTTATTGTTCTACATATATACTGCAACATGTTGCTAGCATATACTGCAATTGTATTTTATTCTACATATATACTGCAATGGCACTTTCATCTACATCTTCTACATCTCTGTACTTTATTAGAATGCAAGTGTTTTTGTTCTATCTTTAGTTCAGCACAAGTGGAAACATACTCTTGGGTCTTGTATGGTTTATGTTTTCTTTTTTGCCATATTCACTCAAGTGCAGGATGCAGGATACTCCTTGGTACAAAAAATGCCAATTGCCAACTGTAAACATGTGTACTTGAGTCTATTTTTAACATGAAAAAAACCTAAACTGTGTGCAACAGAAATCAATCTCGCAGGCGGATCCATCCCTGTGAAAGCACTTGCCATGGCTGTATGACATGCGATGGATGTATGGGCTGTGAGATGTATGAGATGCGATTGTATGGCATTTGAGATGTATGAGATGCGATTGACGTATGAGATGGTTTGTATACCTATTTTTCGGATCTAGGACGTGTTCTGGCCGGATCCTGGACGTGTCCGCGTATACGCGTCTAGGATCAGCGCCGGATCCTGGATCAAGGGCGAGGAGTTCAGCACGGCGGCGAAGTGATGGAGGGCGGCGGCGACCTGATCCAGGACCAGCGCCGGATCGTCGAGGTGTTCAGCGCGGCGGCGAAGTGATGGAGGGCCGCGGCGACCTTGTCCAGGATCGACGCGGATGGAGGACGGCGAGTGAAGCGGGGGCGGCGACCTCGACCACGATGGAGGGCGGCGACGATGGAGGGCAGCGACTGAAGCGCGGCGGCGCAGGGATGTAGGGCGGCCACGAAGGGAGACCTCGCTCGATAACAGGACTCGTCGCTCCTACGTGCGTTCGCACGGTTTTTCTGTCGTTGGTTAACCGTCGTAGGTTTTTTTGTCGCAGGTTAACCTTCGTACGTCTATTGAGGGTCACATGTGGATAGGTGCGGGTTGGGGCCTCAGGAGGAGGTTTTTTTGGTTTGTGGTGGCTTAGTGAGAGGTGGGAGGAGGTACCAAAATAAACCATGGGAGGTGGGACTAAAAAAAACCTGGAAGCGAGACTACCAACTGCTCCCTTAGGAGTAGAAGATTTTACCATTATTATCTAAAACATGCAAAACAAATTGCACAATCTTCACCATAACTTTTATTAGTTGACACTCATTCCCCACCGTAATATTACTTCTGCACCCCTTCTCATCCTTTTATCTCGTCGTTAAATGACTCATCATTAAGTATCAGCCCTGTCTCCTCTTCTTAGTCCTCCTGCATCCCTAGAGACGGCCGACGCTGTCAGCCGCTACCTCCATGTATGGTGGAGCAATGCAACAGCCGGCACCATTGTCCTGCCACAACGCAGCTCCATATCCCCTCGACCCCTCCATCTTTGCTTTTTCACACATGCATTAACACATGGGTGCAACAACTTATGTGCATATTGTGTTATGTCTTATGTATATGTCTTGAAAGGACCAGATGGGTATCCAACTGGTATGGATATCCATCGGGTTTGGACATGGACACAATTTTTCGTCCATGGATTTTTTCATAGGCGGACAAATACTGTCTTCACGGATGTCGATATGGATATGATATTGTTCAACCCGATCCAAACCCGACCCATTGCCATCCTTACTGGTGGATGTAGAGGCCTCTGGTCTGGAATAGCGGGGCATGTGCGAGTACGTTCTGCCCTTGCCGGCTCTTGATGAACCGCGGAACTCATCCTCCTAGGCGTCCTTTGATCTGTCGCGTGCTCGAGCTGAACCATACTCGCTCGCGTCCCTTGATCTGTCGCGTGGTCGGGCGGGACAGCCGGTGCTGGGTGGCAGCTACGTCGACAGATCCTTGGCTGATTTGTTCATGACTTGCAATCCTGCATTTGATTAGTTGGGGAAGGAGAGGTCGCCGCCACCCAGCTCTCCATCTGGATCACCCCCGATCCAAGCCCGCAATCGCACACCTCGGGGGAGGCAAGGATCGATCCAGAGGAACCGGCCCGCACCAAGCCCCACTGCCTCAACAGGAGCTCGCCGCCCTGCCCGCTGACCGGTCACCGGAGGCGCCAGCACCAGCGACCGCCCTCCCTCACCTTGTGCCCTTATCCTTCTCGTTCTCCTTTCTTCCTCTCTCCCTCTCTTCCTCATGCCTTGTCTCTCTCGTTCTTTGGATGAGCGGGACACCGACACCACCGGAGCAAACTGCCGCACCAGCCGCTAGATCCACCAGCTGCCCAATCCCTCGATGCTACGCCTAGATCTGTCCGTCTTCCTCGCGCAGTCGAACCTTTTCTCACTTTAAAAGGACCACGGGTTGAATACAGGAAACTACTGGGATTCTTGCACAAAATTGTAAAACCAAATGTTTTTTCACTTTAA